GATTGGTGCACCCCTAATCATTTTGTCTAATATTTTTTTGAGGCACTGAGTGACATCCAGATTGCAGTGAAAATGGCCGAGTCCAATGCAGACAGTGACGAGCATCCTTTGGACAGACAGTATCACGCCCTGCAGTGCCAACTGGAGCCTTTGGACCAGAGCAGCCATGAGTTCAAGGTTGGTTAAGTTCATTAATTACCCTGAAATGATCAAATAAAAAGAGTTAAAATCCAGTAAATAAATAAGCCATCAAATATTTATTTTACCCGTTGACTAGTTTAAAGATAACTTGAATTTATTACTTTGTAGTAAACTTTCTTCTCATTATCTAAACGTGCTATGTATATTCCCTTTGTGGCCAGCAGGGGGAGCTAACGCTGCTGTAATAGAAGGTGATTGACTTGCTGCACAGCTTATGACAGTCAATTATATTTATATAATATTATTAGTGGTGGGACTTGATTCAAATTTAATCAAATTAATTTAGGATCTGTAATAAATTAACCATATTTTAAGCGAAGCCGTATATTAAGAAAATAAGCAACATTTTCAATTCAAAACCCCTTTTTGCTGCTAAATTATGGAATTAGCAGCAAAAAAATGAATTGTTTTTAATGTTATTTAGGTAATTCAACCATCAGCTTGATAATGCATTTTATTTATTGTTTTGGTTGTGTTTGATTTTTATTTCCTTTTTATTTATTACTTTGTTGTATTTTATTTTGGATATTTAAAATACCTTCCAGTCCTTATGTTGTAGTTCAGTGTGGCCTGTTTTAAGCAAAATTAAACTATATTTGAGAGCGTTATTATGTTATTGTTAATGCATTATTTGAATATGGGAAAAAAATATATATATTACTAATAAATATCATGATAATAAAAGTATTGATATGCTTAATCCTGGCCCTAATACTTCATCGTAGAGATGACCTAAATATAAAGTCCAAATAAACAAAAGCTATAAAACTTGCCTGTCAAACAAGATGGCCACCTTAAGAACGCAAACAATTGTGAAAAAAAATCTAAATTTTCCAAAACTTAAATCTTTGATTTACTGATCAAATGAATTTAATTTCTGTCCTCCTGTCTTTAGGTGATTGAACAGTACCTGAAATCCACTCACGCTCCCACTCACTCCGATTACACCATGAAGGTTCTGGACGTCTTCTCAGTGGACCGGGGCGGCGAGAGCGACAACTTCCTGTCTCATTTACACAACAGGTGGGTCGAGCCAGAACCAGTCTGCAAAAACACAAAATATTAACAAATTTATTTATTTAGTTTCAAGCACAGTTGAAGTAAGACAAAACTAACTTAAAAGTGAAATCAATAATTCCTTACTATTGCTGAGAAAGTTCTAGTTCTATTCTCACTTTTTATAACAAGACATTTTTCCCACGTTACAAGTGAAATAATCTGTAAATGGAAGTAGAACTTTTCATCAATTATTTACTTAAAACAAGCTCCTGAATCTTGCTGAAGTTGGTTTAATCTTATTTCCAGTGTATAGTTGTTAGGTTTTGTGTTCTTGCAGTGCACATGTTGGGTTTTGCCATCCCTGTGTTCATGTGTGTGTTCTGTTTGCACCAGGACTCTGCTGTGGCACGGCTCCCGTCTGTCTAACTGGGTCGGGATCCTCAGTAAGGGGCTCCGAGTGGCGCCGCCCGAGGCCCCCGTCACTGGCTACATGGTACGAAGGAGAGGCTTTCACACACAAATGCATTCATCTTGAGCTTTTTTCCTTGTTTTGAAACAATATTTTTCGATTTTTCTGATGCATAAATTATATAGCATGTTATTTACTTTCACTTGAACTTATTTGCATTTGAAAAGTTTGAACATTTTTTCCAGTGGGTGCCAAACTATAGAAAGAAATAAATGTCTCTTATTTATGGTGAAAAAACGGCAGCTGTTTTACCATATAAATACGGTAAAATTCTGGCAACCGCAAAATACATATTTTCTCATATTTACGCTTTAAAATTGTATTTTACTATAAATAAGAGACTCTTTAGGGGAATTTCAACCTTCAATCCTGTGTTTAAAACCAAACTTAGGTAAGGTTTTAGCTTGAATAAAAAACACAAAAAAGCACAAAGAGGTCAGAAGAATAGAATAGAAAAGGGAAAATCACATTTTCTGTTGAATTCAATGCATATGATTAGTTCACTGAAATAAAACAGTATCAGGAAAGAATTGCAAAACTAATAAAATTATTATATTTTAAATAGATCTAGGTTTTCTCCACCGCTCTGGAAGACATAAAGATGCTTTACATCTTTAAATTTATTATAAAAAATAAAAGTAACTTGACCTTCTGGTCTTTCTCTTTCAGTTTGGTAAAGGTATTTACTTCGCAGACATGTCGTCAAAAAGTGCCAACTACTGTTTCGCCAACCAGAGCCACCATGTTGGTTTGCTGCTGCTGAGTGAGGTGAGAAAACGTGTTTTCAGAAGATTTGTTCTCCAAAATGGTTTTAATGTTTATTTGTTGAACCTTACATCACTTTACACCCAGCTCTGTCATATGTATCAACATGTTTGTGTGCAGGTGGCTTTAGGGGACAGTAATGAGCTGCTGGATGCCGACTATGAGGCCCATAAGCTGCCTGCAGGAAAACACAGCACCAAGGGCCTCGGTCTGACCGGACCCGACCCAAAAAACGCCGTCACGCTGTTAGTCTCGTCACATCTCCACATTCTACCTAAAATCTGCTGTCAAGCAAAGAAACTTACAGTCTATTACTTTTCAAGTTTTATCTGTGTAGCACATTTCAGAAACAAGGCAGTTCAAAATGCTTTACATCATAAAACCAGAAAAATACCAAGTCAAAAAAAAGCATCATACGGTCAACAATTGTCAAAACCAGAGAGAAACATTACTGGTTTTCATTTCACATCAAGAATGTTGGTCAATGTTTCATTTATTATGTTTCAAAAGCAACTCGAGTCTTGATGTAAAAGTAAATCAGTGTTTCGGGTGTTTTGCAGTTTTCTGGAAGTTTGTTCCAGATTGTTGGTGCATAGAAGCTAAATGCTGCTTCTCCATGTTTGGTTCTGGTTCTGGAGATGCAAACCAGAACCAGAAGACCTGAGAGGTCTGGAAGGTTGCTATGACAACAGCAGATCTTTAATGTATTGTGGTTATAAACCGTTCAGTGATTTATAAACTAATGGTATTTTAAAGTCTGTGCTCTGAGCTACAGGGAGCCAGTGCAGGGACTTCAGAACTGGGTGATGGGCTCTAACTCCCTGGTTTTAGTCAGAACTCCAGCAGCAGCATTTTGGATTAGTTCAGTCAGAGCTGTGAAGACACTGTTGCAGTAATCAATGTGTCTAAACATGAACACATGGATGAGTTTCTAATCCTGGAAATGTTCTTCAGGTGATAGAAGGCCGACTTTGTAACCGTTTTTATGTGGCTCTGAAGGTTCAGGTCAGAACCTGATCTGTAGTTTCTAGCTGTAGTAATTTAAGTTGCACACTGACTATATTTTCCTCTATATGTCCAAAGATAACTTCATTTTTTTACTATACAAATAAGTAGGAAAAACAAAGTTATTATAAAATATAAAAACGTAAATGTAACGTGTCTAAACCAATGACCTTTGACTCCTTGTTTGTACTTATTTCTCCCTCAGGAACGGAGCGACGGTTCCGATGGGTCCCGGCGTTAAAACGGGGGTTTCTAACCCCAGTGGCTACTCTCTGCTGTACAACGAGTTCATCGTTTACAACCCGGCTCAGACCCGCATGAGGTACCTGCTGCGGATCCAGTTTAACTACTCCTCTCTCTGGTGAAAACCAGTCCGACCCGGGCCAGTTTGGATCACTGCCCTGTTGGGGAAATCTTACTGTTTTACTGTGGGTTCGGTGATTTGAAGACTCTCCTGTTGCTAGGCAGATTTCAGAAGTTCTCATAAAAATTTACTAGGTCAACCTTTTGGAGAGTAATGTGGCAGCATTTTTTCCCAAAATTTGAATTAAATTATATTTCAACCACTCATACATTTTTATAAGAAAATGTGTAGTGACATTATTTCCTGATCAAACCATTGGTCAAACCATTGGTCAAACCATTGGTCAGAGGCCCAAGCTGATATTTTGAAAGCAATGACTTCCAGTTGAAGTATAAGAAAGATTTAAATGAAATAAACTTCATAAACTTTAAATCTTACCAAGTATTTTTGCTTAGTTTTTTATTGCAAACATTTTAGTTCACTTCAATTAAGACAAAACTAACAAAGCAACTTTCCAGCAAGATTTAAAAGCTTATTTAGAGTCAATAATTCTTCAATATTGATGAAAAAATAGTTCATCTTACAGATTATTTCACTGGAAATGTTTTTGTCATAATTGAAATAATTTGTAAGTAGCAGTATTATCAAAAATATGTAATTATTGACTCTGAAGCAGCTCCTATATTTTGTTGAAAAAGTATAAGTTAGCTTTGTCTTATTTCAAGTGTGCTACAATATTTACATTAGAAAACAGACCAAAAAATAATTGGTGAGATGTTTTGTTTTTGCATCCGATTTTATCTAAGGAAGCCCATCAGTGCCTCTTTAAATCATTCAAAGGCTTTAAATGATTGCAGCGTTTGGCTCAGGAGCCTTTCTTCTCTAAAAATGATCATAAGCCTTAAAGATGACAGATCTGATTATTAAAACTCTGTTTGGGTGTTAAGGTTCAAATTGTAAAACTTTTGATCATATTTCCGCTTCTGCAGTCGACTGAGTTTTTTTTAAAGTTACTTCTAAATCAGTAGAGCTAAACAGTGGGTGTATTATGACAAATGCTGACTGAGATGAAGAAAAAAAATGTTTTTCACTATATTTAATTCATGTTTTTTTCTTTATGGGTTTATCCTGTTTATTACCTCCCATTCTTTGTTTTTTTGTAACCCACATAATCAAATGCCGTAAAGAATTGCTTTTTACAATATGGTTGCAATAAAATACAGAATAACAACAAAAAATAATCAATTGTGATGTTTATTTCTTGGTGTAAATAAGTACACCTCAGTTATATACATTATAATGCTCGATAATTTCAGTTTAGGTAGCGTTTTACACAGTATCACCTCCTCCCCAGCAGGTAGAGGAAGATGAGGATTATGTCCAGGTAGATGGTGAGAGCAGCGTTGACGTATTCCTCCGGATTCAGCCGATAGCTCATCTTTCCCATCATCAGCTGACAGTCGACCAGCAGGAACTGAGCCAGGAAGGGAGAGAGTTAAGCAGGGTGAGAAATTAGAGAACCGCAGCTTTATTATAAAAACACTTCCCTTATTTATGCAAACAGCATTCCTAGAGTCACTGGAGATATTAATAATATTTCCCTTTTTCGTGGCTGTGAGTTTTGTGAGAGTTTTCACTCCTACTAATAACCATAACTGTAATTCACAGAGTTATGAAAAAATCATACTTTGGGCATTTTATACTTCCATTTTGGTCTCTACTGTTTCTAAAAGCAGCCGAAGAAATAAAAACAAACAAACAACACCCTGCCATTTTTTAGGCAGAGTATATTCAACTTTTTTGGGAAACCTCCCAACTATTACCTAGAGCTGTTACCTTGCAACCCAAGCAGAGATTCAAATTCAAAAATACTTTATTTATCCCAAAAGGAAATTAAATGTTGTTTTAACTCATTAAATTGGATTTTTCAAAGAGTTGTTGAAGATGGTGACAGACGGTTGGTATGTGTGTGTTGTACAATGGCTGTTGGAAAAGACAAAGTATGTTGTTGATTTACCATCCAGAAACCACTTGCTGGATTCTTCTGGGTTATGGAGGAGTAGAATATATTTTCCAGGCACAAGGTGTTATTTTTTCCCTGCTCTTACCAGAGAATACAGCAGCGCTCCAAGACATCCATAAATAATGCTGGCGACATGGGAGTAGTAGAAGGTGCAGAAGATCCCAAACATGACGACGTCTACAGCCATGACCAATAGGACGCCGTAACACAGAGTGAAATCATAACGAGTCTGAAAACAGAGCAGAAGGACACCCAGAAAGCTTAGTCCAGTGGTTCTTAACCCGGGTTCCATCGAACCCCAGGGGTTAGGGTCGGTCTCAGGGGTTTGGCGGAGCCTCTGCCGTGGAGGTAAAGACATACTTGTGTAAAGTCGTAATGACACGCTCCGCTTGGCCATCACCTGCTGGATAGGATCACGTGACATTGCTTGGCCAATCAGTGCTGCGGGAAATTTAGTGCGCGCAGTAGTCAACGGCTGTCGTAGTTGTACGTCTTGTGGTTTCTTTCACAATATTTTAATCCATACTAAACATGTCGAGCAAAAAAAGAAAGCAGTCGGATGGATATGTACAATATGGATCCACGTGTATCCCCAGCCGGGGAGGTTTCCTTCTCGGTCCGGGGAGGATATAACAAAAACAAATCAAAACTCATCGCAATACGTCGTTGCTGAGAGGGAAACCTCCCCAGGCAGGGAGGTTTCTCAGCTCCTGTTTCTCAGTCGTGGGAAGATTGAAATTCAAATTAAAAATAAACTCAAAATGATTGACTCTTGATCACATAAAGAAGGCCACGGATAAAATATAAGACAGAGAAAAAGAGTAAAACATGATCTTACTGCAAACCTCCCCCAGCTGATCCTCCCCGGACCTTCCCAGTCCGGGGAGGATCAAACAAAAACGAATCAAACTCATCGTGATACGTTGTTGCTGAGAAGGAATGGCACATTTTTCAAGAACATTATTTCTGTTTGTACGGATATTTAAATTTTCCTTATTTAGGACATTTTCGAATGAAAAAGCACCCCCAACCTGTGATGCGAAGACGATGATGGCAACAGAGATGACCAGCGTCGCTGCCATGGTGATGACGACAGCGGTGGTGTTGTGGAAGGAGGCGACGGTCCCCACCATGTAAGACAGACTGAGGGTGACGATAACCTGCAGCGAGAAAAATCACTTTACAACACACTTTGCTTGTTGTCTTTGGTTTGCAGCTTTACTGTCTGACCTATTTATGTATTTAGTTTGCTTTGAGAGAAAGATGCCCACCAGCCCCACAAGGTTCCAGGGGTGACGCCGGCTGAAAGACCTGCAGCAGCTGAGGGTGAAGGCCACCACAATGAAGACGATGAAGGAGCTGAGGTAGGCCCACAAGTTGTTCTGCACGGCCTTTTTCACGACGCTGGAGAAGGTGAACACGCAGACGACGCTAAAGGTGAACAGCAGCTGGAGCGTCAGGATGCTAAACACCTGCAGCAGAAAGTAAGATACTTTGCTGCGTTAATTGCGATTTATTAACTACATAGATTTTAACGCAACTTTTTCTGACGCACCAGAGCCGGAACCTTTGTGTTGCGTTTCTGGTACACCCGTAAATCTGTCGCACAAGCAACATCCGTCAACCATTTGTAAGTAAGAAATGAGAAATTTCTAAAACATAACATTAAAAAATATAAAGCAAATGTTTCCAAATCCGTATGATGTGTTGTTTATGTTGAGAAGGATGAATACAATTAAGAATTTGTTTTTAAAAAGTAAAAAGTTCCTGTGTTATGGAGGGCAAACAGATCATTTCAGAAAACTGAAATATTTGGTTTCACCCAGGAAACTTTAACAATTAAAGAGCAAGTTTCCAATTGTACATATTTGTATAAACAGTTAAAAATTTGCTGGTAAATTAATCAGTTCCCATGTTATGGAGGGGAACAGCTGAAATATTTAGTTCCCCCCATGACTTTGGTAAATAAAGCAACCTGAAACTCAAGATGATTGGTTAATCCTGTGGTTTCTAAAAGGATTTATTTTCTCTGGAAAGAGAAAAATTGTTCTCACATATCTCAGAATAATAGAGAAATATTTTAAGGCATATAAATGGCAGAAATCTATTTTTGGCCTAAAAAAACGTTGCTAACTGTCACTATTAGATTAATTTACATCTGCCAATGTAACTAGTACTTTTTAAAAATCAATATTAAGGAGTTACTGACTTATATCTTCTGAAAAGTTACTTGTAAGAAGTTTTGTTTATTTCAAATGTGCTAATATATGAAAACTAGACCCAAAAAAGTTGGTAAATGTTTGTGTTTTTGTAGTGTAATAATTGGACATCTGAGTGGACACAAACCTTTCTAGCAAACCCTCTCCTCACGGTTTCATCCTCAAACGACGACGACACAAAGGGAGTTGTGTCCGATGCGATTTCTGGGTTTATGTCTTGAAAAGACTCGTATCCGGTGACGACGGCCTCGGTCTGGCGCGGACCGTACCCGGCCGGCGCCGCAGAGTAAGCTGGAGGCGACTGGTCGTGGTAGGAATACGGTGGAGGCGAAGACGGTTTAGGTATGAGCTGCTCTCTTTGGTCGGCCATCTTGGCTGGAAGAGAAAGATTCAGAGATTTACGTGAAGGAGAAGTAGTTCACCAGCAGAAGTGAGTCGATTCACTTTGCCTCTGTGTGGAAAAGAAATGCAGAAGTAAAACTTGAGCTGTGAAGAATTACGACAAAAATCAGTTTTTCAGTTCTGTTGATTAACTGTAAATCTGAATTTGAACAAAATGCACCGTATTTAGAAGAACAGTAGTCACATTCTTAACTTTCAGCTAGAAATCACTGCTTTTAGAAATTTAACTGATGGTTTATTTTTAAAGATCCACCTCAAAATATACAGAATAATATTAATATAAATTAAACTGAAAGCAGTCTCTATTGATCATCAAAAGAAGCACCTTCTAAATTAAAAATCCTTCACAAATCATTAATTTGAATGTTTTATTTAAAATTGTCCCACTGTGACAAAGCTGAAAACAGAGGCTTTTAATACTCAGTCGTGTGGCATTTATTCATTATTTTTAAATTTATCATACTGTCTCTTATGTTGTATCTTTTTCACCCAAGTTAAAAAGAGGATTAAAAAAAACATTTTTATCTAAGTTAAGCAAAATTAGCCACTCGCGAGTGAATAATGCAAATAATTTTTCATTAAACAATATATAATGCTTTTTAAAAATTAATGAAATGAATCACTTAGGCACAAGAGTAATCTTGTTTATCTATATAATTCTTGTAGAAGAGAATTTACTTGAAGAAAAAACCCCAAAAACAATTAAATAGATTTGGCTCATCATCATCTGTCTCAAGTAGAGATGTTTCTAACAGTTCAGTTCTTAGTCTGGTTTTAACCTTAAATTTGGTGGTTTAGGTTGTTCTTTGAGATTTCTCTGTAAAACTTTACATTTTCAAATGTTGCAGAATAAACCAACCGATCCTCTTACCTTTTCCTCTGAGCGGCTCCACAGGTTGAAGCAGTTCTGCTGTTTGAGCAGGAAATGGCAAAACTCTTAAGAGACTTCCTATCTCTTTAAAGTGATGCAAACGTTTTCGACCTGATGACTCGCCTCATGTTAACTCAGAAAAGATTGTCAGAGGTTTTTAAATGTAAAGGCATATAAAAATCTTTGTATTATCAATACTTATTACCTTTATTGTTGTCTCAAAGTATCTATTTACCTATCCCCACTTTTTTCTTATTTAAAGCCAGATATAAGAAAAATTTGCTTAAAAAGATCTAAAACATCTGGAGAACTGTAGGAACACTGTGCTTGGGCAGGAATACATTTAAAACACACAAGACATTAAAAAAAATACATTTTAAGGATAAATTATGAATTGGTTGTAAGTTTGGGTGTCGTTACAACTCAGATTTTGGTTCTGAACTCAAACAGAAACTGAAAGTTTCTGTTTTTTCTTTTTTTGGATCTGACTAATCGCTGAAAGAAACCGCTGTTGACACAAGTTTTTTTTTTTTTTTTTTACTTCCTGTTTTTTTGATGGTTGTTGATCTAGTAGATAAAACAAAACAAAAAGCAGCCAACAGGCTTTAAAATGAATATGTTGCCACTTGATCAAAGTTTTTTCAGTTTTTCTGCTTCCTTTGGTTCAGGCAGACATCAGATCTACAGATCTACCCCCAGTTTCCTTTTTTAAGTCACTTTGCAATTGTTTCCTGTTGCAGAAGCAAACTCAGAAAGTTGTTGCTGCTGTTAAACTCTGTCTCTTGTGTTGTATCTGTTTCACCCAAGTTAAAAAGAGGATTAAAAAAAACATAAGGTCAATTGTGACCTTTTGTCACAATTGACCTCCCCCAATCACACAAACATGTTTTTTTTTGTGTGATTGAATTGTTCACTCAGATTCATTCAAATAAATATGTTAAATAAAAGCAGCTGCTTTGCCAGAAGAGAAGTATTTACATTTCATCAAATTTTTGCATCTAAATATGTATTTACCCTGCAATACAGCAGATTATTTAACTTATAACAAGACATTTGCCATGTGATAAGTGTGATAATCTGCTTTTCTGTTTGAAGGATCAGTCTGCATATTAGACATGTTCTGGTTTTAGCTGGACTCTTAAAATGACTGACTGGGTTTGATGATCATCATAAACAACTGTGAGAAACAGGAAAGAGGAGTTAACCGAGAAACATAATCATTTCCTTTAGGTCAAGTCTTCAGACAAAGCAAGCCATAGATTCATGCTCTGCAGTTTGTCGGCTTTAATGGTAAATTTGGTCTTGACATAAAAGCACAAAGAGGAAATGGCTGAGGGTCATTGTGTGGTTGGGTCGACTCGAAACAGCTGCTGCAGAGCAAACCTACACAGCAGCAACAAACAAAGCAAACGCAGCCCAGGCTTCCCATAAACCGGCCGACGGTATCTTTCAGTAGAAACGAGCAAACGAAGAGCCGAGTTTTATAAATGTCACCGACGCATCTATTCAGGTTCTCCAAGGGCATTGTGGGATTTTTTTCCTCCTATCATTTAGATTCTATCTGCAGTTTGAAAACTACAAACCATTCAGAGGCAAATCATGTTCCTACAAGCTGACAAACATTGAAGGAGACCAAAAAATTAAACTGCGTCACCATGAACACCAATAAAATTCATGTTTTCCAAAACGTTACTCTAGTAAATGGCAACACTACCCAACTCTGCAGACAAACTGATATTGCCACATCTTTTACAGCTGAATATTTGTGTATTTTTGATTATCTGATGGTTTCAAACAAACACGAAGCAAATGATTTCTCTCACACATATTTATTGTAAAAAATACATATAAAAACAACTTCTGAGACATACAAAAGATCAGAGCTTAGAAACAGTATAATTGAACAGACAAGGACCAAGCCATTTTCTTGAATTGCATTACATATTTACAATTGAATAATAATAATAACAATAAATAAAGTTCAATTTGTTTTTTTTTATACCAGAGTCGAGGCAGATTGTCCATATCCAGAGGATGCAGATTCAGCCGTTGTGACCCATTTTTAAAACTTTCTCATCAAAAACACGGAGCCCCGTGTTTCAGAACCAAATCTTTGTGGGACGCCTTTAAAAAAAAAAAAAACGAAAAATACACACCATCCTTGGTTGGCGAACACAGAGAGCATTTAGCTAGCATTGGTAAAGAAATAAAAAACTGAGGTATTGCACCACACAGCTTAGAGAGGGTAACAGAGTAAATGAGAGTAATTTAGGGGGGTTAAATCCAACCTCCATGAGCATAAACAAACACCCCCATCCCCCCCAGCCAAAGTATCCAACATCATAACTGACCTGTACAACGAACACAACGCCACCGCGGCCTCTGCACACGCTCACACAACGCTCCCAATGCACAGACTCACTTTTGGCATCTTATTTTTCTTCCTTTCAACATTTTTTAAATTCTCCAGTATATATTTTTATGCTTTAATATAAAAAGAGAAACATGCGCAGCGCTGCCCACTAGTGGTGGGGCGAGTCGTAGCACCTCAGACTGAAGAGAACCGTGAACCAGGGAGGAAAAGAAAGGAAACTAATTCAACTCTTTTCACCAAAATTGTCAGCAATAGAAGTGACCGCACCACAACAAAAATATAATTAAAATCAAAATCACCAAAATGTTGATTTTTTTTAAAAAACCTACTCTACAATAAGAATGAATTCTGATTTTTATGGGATTGAAACTAGACCAAAATGATTTTTATTTTGTTGCAGTGAAACATTTTTATAACATTTCTATTTAAAAGTAACAGATTATAATTCTCAAATTTTGGTCTGAGGGCTACACATAATCAATCCAGGAGCTGCAAGTGGCCCCCGATCCCTACTTTGAGCACCCTTGCTCTAAAACCGAACCAAAAAAATCAAGTTGTTTGTTCTGCTGGCTCAATTTAAGAGCCCCAAAAAGGCAAATCAGCACAAAAATACAAAGGAAATCCACTTGACACATTTAGCAATAATCACGACAATAAGTCAGCTAAAAATGCTCAAAATAAAAAGGCAGGGTGGAAAAGGAAGGGGGCGCCTGCTGCTTATGTAATTATTAACCATAAGCTGTCCATAGCCCCCAATGCTGTGAAGAGGAGGCAGATACCACATGGCGTAAACATGCCCCCAAAAGTCCGTCCATTTGTCCCGGCGCGATCCGGCGTTGGCAAAAAAAAACAAACCCAGATTATTACAAAAAAAGAAAAGAAACCGCATTCATAGAAAGTACCAACCAACCAGACATCTGCGAAGTTTACAACACAAACAAACTCACTTTAATGTATTTACAAACAAACACAGGACACATTCTCCCCTCCGTCGCTCACTGTCGTTCCAGATCGCATGAGAATCAACAGAAAAGTGCTCCAGCTGGCGCCAACGTGGTGCTGCTGTCGAATCCTTCCTGAACAATCCTCACGGTAACAAGGACACAAAACTGGCCGACTTTAAAAGAAACAAAACACAAAGGCCCAAAACTTCCCCTGAAATCTTTAAAGGTAACAGAAAGCAGAGAAAATAACAAAACACAGAAAGAAAGAGTAGCAGCAGCCCCCCTTTCCACCAAAAACAGGTGCTCATCGCGTCAGAGCAGAAATAAACGTAACAGCTGAAGATTTGGTTAATTTTGGGGGAAAGCAGAGAAGAAGACATTCATCCCATGTAGGACTTGCAACAATACTTTGTTTTTCTTTGTTTTTTTAAGAAAAAATAATTGATAATAAGGTTTTCTAGGATGATAATATTTAAATGACCCTGGGTGATATAAGTCCCCCCCACACACACACACACACACACACACACCCACTCACCCACAGACAGACAGACATCTTTGTTATTAGACGAAGCAGCTGGTTTCAAAGTCGGCGTTTGGCAGGTCGAGTTTAAATCGATAGAGGAAGATCCTGCTGGCCTTTTACATCGGATAAGGAAATAGGAATTTTGCTCGTTCGATTCTTTGTTCTTATTGTGGTTTCGTTGGGATTCGGTGTCGTCTCCTGTAAAAACACAGAAAAAGAGAATAACTTCAACTTCTCACATTGCAAAAACACCAAATATCACCAAGTATCTCTGGTCCAGTTTTCAGCGAATGTTTCTTTTTTTTTTTCCTGTTCACAGATCTGTGTCATAAGAACCAAAAATTAGGCCGGTTTCTTCTTGCATCCTTAATCTTATCCAGTAAAACCTTTTACTATGTTTGTGTTGCAGCTTCAGTTTGCCTTGAATAGTTTTGCAACTTTTAATGGATTCAATTTTGCCTTTAGAAAATGAGGAAGGAGTTTTGTTTTCACTAATGATTTGAAAAGCTTTTCGTTTCTTCTGCGCTGCAGAAACACAAAATCTTACCCAGTATTGCTGGTCTAGTTTCCAGTGCAAATATTTTGGTACGCATAAAAGAAAATCTAATTTACAACTTTGTAGCAAGACAGAGGAGCTCACTTTATGTCAAGAATTCCTTCATGCTGATTAAAATTATGTGCCCACTGGAACTTGCACTTTTTAATCCTAATTAAGGAATTATTCACCCCAAACAAGCTGCTATATCTTGCTGAAAACTTACTTTTAAGTTACTTTTGCCATATTTTATGTGTGCTGAGATATTTGCACTAGAAACTGAACAGTTTTTTGCAGAGCAAAAAGAGTAAATAGTGTCATCAGTATTTTTCATGCTGAGGTAAACGGCGTCTGAGCAGCAGAGGAGGATGAAGCACTTCCTGTTTTTAAGTAATGGCTGTAAAGCAGAGAAAGTAAATTCCTCTGCTTTATGGCTGAAAAATCCAACATGTTTTCTTTAATAAGACATAAATAAATTCTCCTTATTGCAGCCCAGGCTGTGGCTGAAGGTTCATGTCTGAAGGTTCATGTCTGCCGTTAAGTTCAGTAAACTTTAGCTTTTTGGAGATTTATCCCAGCAGTCGTTAAAAGTTTCAATATCTGCTCTTACAAAGATAACTTTGACTTGAGTCACTGTCTGAACAAAGTGAGGAAAGATGAGCCAATCTCCACTATTTCAGATCAAGTTGACATTTAAATTATAGAGTGGGGAAGTGGGTGAGAAAATATTTTAATGACATCAAACCTGTTATTTTTGCTGCTGACATGAGCAGGCAGACAGACGAAGCTGCTGGCCGGATGAGTCATGTTTTTAAATGCGTCAACTTTAGGTTGAGAAAATGGCTGAATTCACTGATTCTAGTTTTTTTTATTTTTTTTACCAAATGAAACTTGCAGGATGTATGAAACATAAAACTCTACTTAAGAGGCATTTTTAAATCGCTGCAGTGCAATAAAGATAATAAATAATAAAGTAATAAATAAAATCAACTCAGTAGCAGCAGCATCTCGCACTGAAACATGTCAGGAAAAATGACCTTTAAGATAAAAACATTTTCATTCAGAAAAAAACTTTTTAACCAATTATTGTTTCCAAACGTTTGGATAAATGGATATATGTGAACCAATTTTAAAATGTATTCTAATTAAATTTTTCAGACTGTCTAGGAACTTTTAATTCATAAGTCTTTGTTTCTCTGGGGTGTGCATATGATGCGACACTGGTTTTCCGTGACAACACAAGCCAATTAATGAAATTAATTTTACATAAATATAGAATTTTTAAAAACCATGCAGATGTAAATTTAAAAAAATGTAACACCACAAGCAGTTTAAGTTTGTTACTTTTTGTAGCACCAGATTTTAATTCATTTTCTTTACAACTGTTCATATAAACATTTGACTTTATCTGCCAGACTGATGGTGGAAAACCTTTTCTTTCCTACCATCACAAATGTAAAGATGTATTTTTTGAGCCTCACTCTTCCACTGGAACTTTATGTTGAATTTTTCAAAAGCAAAAACAATCTACGTGGGTTGGCATGAAGCAAAGAATGAATATGTAAAAAAGTAGACAAATTACATCCATTGTTGCTTAATATTGGTCTTAAAAAAGTAGATTATTTCACTTACGACAAATGAAATAATCTGACAAGCATCTATTAGTTTTTCTTTATTTCTTATTTCAAGTGTTTTAAGGCATTTGTAGTAGAAACTAGACAAAAAATGCTGAATCAAATTTGCCAACTTTTCTCAGACGTGTATAATCTGAGTCACCTGCTGCGTGGGCGTACCTGAGTCGATCTGGTCGCTGGGCTGGAACCGCCTGACCTGCGAGTCAATCGAAGGGATGCTCAGGGCAGCAGGGCTTCACCTTGGACCAGGAGTCGATGCAGCTGCACAAACACAAAACTCTCTGATTAACCGACACTAATGCAGCAAACTGAGGAGTCGCCTAAAGGCTTTCGTCGACTTCCTGAATCGCTGGTTAGAAACCAGGAAGCCCTTGGTTCATCTTTCATCTCCTGAAAGATGAAAGATCTTTCATTTTATGAAAGCTGAATCCATACACTCCTGCTTTTTGATTAAGAAACAAAGTAATTAAGAGATATAGCTGCGTTTTTGGTGTAAATGCAACATTTGTTTACTTTAGAAAGCTTTGCATGCCAGGAGCTGTTCTTTAGAGCATTAAGTGCTCTTAAACCACTCATTAGAAGCATCATAATGACAGATAAGAAAAGGAAAAGTAAAGAAAAATACATAATTCATCATAATATTTCACAACAACAGACTGGATGGTTTATTTTAAAACATTCTGAGTCCCTGAAAAACTGAACCAAACATCAACTAGTTGGAGCTGAATGTGATTTAAATCGTTTTTATTTTATATATCATCAAATGTGTCGAGTCAAAACTAAAATTAGCAAATTCTTGTAATTTAAACTTTTTTCTCACCAATAAATTAAATGTGCAATATTTTAGATAAATATCGGTTATTGGCCATAACAATATTAATACCGGATATTGATATTGGTCCAAATTTTTGTGTTTGAGCATCACTACTTCTCTGTGTTGTTCTTTTTTTTGTTTCTCCAATTAACAATTAATCGATTACTAAATTAGTTGATAAATATTTTAGTAATTTATTAATCCTATTAATGATTTCATCCCCAAAATGTACTCAGTTTAAGATGGATTTGCAACACTTTCTTTCGAAACGCTTGCTATTGTTTAGTAAAGTTTAATAAATTATATGAAAGCTGATTTGAGTGCAGCAACTAAATTTTCAGTAAATGTCTCTGGATAAATGTTGCTCTAATTATTATAAAAACTTAAGTTATGAGAAGGTGAATACTTTGTGTTGTATTTGAAAACTGTCTCATCCAGCAGTATGTTTAATGCAGTTAGATTCATTTAATCAGAGTAAAATTATTACTGACACATATTTTCCTATTTTGAATCTTCAGTTGGAGGCCACAAACAAATCAGTAAAACGGCCACAAATGGCCCCAAACCGCACCTTAGAAACCCTTGCTTTACACATGTTCTTCTGATCGACTTTTATCATCAAACATGAGGAATCATGTAATCATTTCCAGCTGTTTCCCTCTCCGATTTGCTAACTTCCCCGAATTTCTACTCCTCCATGGGGAAAATTAAAAATTTTCTTCACTCAATCCAACAACCACACCTTAATAAAAATTAAAAAAAAGGGGCTGGAGGCGAGCCCGCCTTCGACCAGAACCGAAATGAAGCCCATCATCCATCTGATACTGTGTGAAGTTCCCTGGAAAGCAGCGCTAAATTCCAACACACTCAGCTTTTCCGAGTGAGGAAATTACACAAACTTCCAGGCTGGGACGTTCCTGTATCTGCTTGCCTCTACGGCTCGGCTGTGAGGCAACGTCGACGGACAAAAAAGAAAACATAAATAAATAAAGTGGAGAGTGGCGTTATCCCCGCGAAGCTCGCACTTAAAAATCTGAAGGAGTCGGCGACGGCTGGAAAACGAGGGGGAAATCCAAGAGAGGCTCATTAAAGCACACTGCGAAACGCGGCGTCAATGTGCTGGAACCAGGCAAACAAACCAGAGGTCCTTTAACAGCTTCATGATTATTAAACCTCCAAGAGGTTTCTGAACATCTGAGGGTGTGCCGAGTTCACATGTCACGACGTTGTAACAGTTGGAGAAACATTTGTGGTTCAGTTTGAAGCTGCTAAATTCCACAGAAGGACATTTTATTCTCTAAAAACAATCCAAGTTTAATTTACAAAGTTTTTAAGATAACTTCAGAACAACCAGTCACTCTGCAAAAAAGGGATCTATAAATATAAATATCTCAGTGGACTTGAAATAAGACAAACTATTAAATTAACTTAAAACACGGGGAAAATATCTTGTTAGAAGCAAAATAATCAGCCGACAAAACTAGAACTTACGCAATTATTTACTTAAAACAAGCTCCTACTTCTTGCTACAAAGTAATTTATAAGTCAGTTTTGTCTTATTTCAAGTGTATTAAGATATTGCAATAGAAACCAGACAAAAATTACTTTGTAAGATTTTGTGTTTTTGCAGTGCAGAAGAAACAAATAACTTTCCAAATCAGCAGCGAACCAAACTCCTTCCTCATTTTTTAAAAGCGTAGTTTTGTTGCATCACCTTCCTGAAAGGTGAAATTAAAGCAATTAAATGTTGCATAACTATTTACGGCTAATTGAAGCTACAACACAACCGCAACAAAGTGTTTCTTTATAGATTTGTTTTTGGTTTAACAACGATTTGTCAATGACATAATTTCAGATATTGTAATTTAATATAAATGACTATTTAGAGATTTTGTTAATATGTGGTTCAAAATGGACTATTTGTGGATTTCTAACAGAAGGGACTATGTACCCCACGCATATCATAGCTATTATGCATGAATGCTGATGGTTGTGAATGCTAATGCTAGTTATTCCTGAAATCTAAAGTCGTTTCTCAGTCACTAGAACATTTAGCAGCGACTACATGAGCAGGATAGACAACACCAAGACCCGCCTCCTGGTTCTGTTTGGCTGTTTTTGCATTTCTTCAGATGGCAACAGCAACTCAAGGAGGAGGTGGATTACAGTGACAGTTTTAACAATTATCTAAAAAGAAAACATATTTTGGTCCAAGCTACATACTGCAGAATAAAAAGCTAAAATAATCTTTAGCTGCAGTCCCAAAATTTGGAAATTTATCTACGAAGTGTTTTTGACAGAGGTGGGGAGGGTACCCAAAATCATCAGGCACGTGCTGAGCTCCAAATACCTTTTGTGGTAGACGCAGAGGCAGGCCAGCCTGGCGATGGTCTCCCCCTGCACCAGATCCTCCAGACAGATCGAGCACTCCCCGCTGTCTTTGCTCAGCACGTCCGCTGCGAACAAACGCACACACACACAAGGCGACAGACAGCGTCATCATCGGCCTTTAAAAACAGAAACAACACACACACACACAGCTGTCAGAGCGTCAAGTTACTGGACGCTTACTGTTGTAAGGTAGCGGAGGAGACGTGAGGCAGCTTAACAGGTGATCCTCGATCCGACCGCCTGGGAAAGGCTTTGAGCAGAAAGGGCAGCGAATACCTGCAGAGGGCAGAGATTAGCACATGATGTCATTTTGGACAGCGATGAGCAAAAATTCAGATGACGCTACCTCGACTTCGGCTGACCTGAAATAGCATCATTCGACTGCGTGCATCCGTATAAAAACAGAGAGTCACGCCTGAGGGAAAGCCAGCACTCAGCCATTCATGGATGTGACAGTCAGGCGGAAACAGCGCCTTGCTGCCCTACATCCCCCCCGCCTCCTCCTCCATCTATGAGCCGCTGCCAGCTTGTGAAGTTGTGACCCATTTCCCTACTCTGGCTGAAGGGCTGGCCCAGGAAACCCACCACTCAGCAGCATTGTGGATCAAAATGTCATGTTTTCAGTCACAACACCACCATCTGCTTGCATCCGATTATCCTGAATGTGTGGCTGAAACGATTAATCGTGATTAATCGGTTATTGAAAGGCTGTTCTGTTTTTAAACTGGTCAGACAGTAGGTAAGTGTAGCGTAGATGTTTATCACTCCAAAAAACAATCATAAAAACTGACAACCAACCTCTCTACCTTTGACTTTAATGAAATAGTTAAAATCTGGTAGGGCTGGAACAATGAATTGGATTAATTGTGATTAATCAGTTTGTGCATTTAAGCATCTATAAAAGAAGTAGTTTTATTTATATAGCACTTTTTCAGCAACAAGGCAGTTCAAAGTGCTTTGGCAATCCAGTTATTTAAAATAAACACTGCAAATGTACCTTTTGCTATAAATAATGAAGTGTCCACTAAAGAAATGCTAAGTTTTTGCATCTTAGGCAATAAAGTGCTTATTTTCTTATTCAAAAAAAGCAATAATTTGCATATTTTAATGTATTTCTAATAATGTTTAAAGAAAAGGCTTAAGTGGTTAAATGATATACCTGCAGAATATGTAAATGTTTAAAAATCAAATTAAATCAATTGTGGAAATAATCGATTATTAAAATAATCGTTAGTTGCATGTACTGCTTCACCCCTTTTGCAAACTCATCTCCCCCCTAAAAAAGGAGAAACACGGTCGGTTGCTTCATGTTTTTAACTTGCAGGCTGGAGGATTGTAAAAGACAACTGCTGTCATACGGAAACGTGAAAGAGCTTCTGTGTTGCCACTTACAGTTTTACGCCACTGCTCCGCCGCAGACAATGGGGTCTCTGATGGTTTGAGTCAGCATGCGAGCACGGGAAAAGAGATTAACTGTCCAGGAATGTAAATTCCCCCAATAATCCATTTTAATTTCAGACCAGGTTGATCCAGGGGGATTTTTTTAATTAAACTAAATCCTCTATTCCATCAAAACATAATTATATGTCTTAGGAAAACAGGATTAAATATTCAGATAGTTTCATTATGTGGAGCATTATGTATAACCTCCCCCTCTTAAGAGTATGAGTGTGATAATCTTTTTTGGAAATATTACATTTTTCTAGTAAAACTGTGAGTCAATGTGGTATTGACCACATTATTTAGTCAGTGAAATACTGTAGTTTAAAGGTTTAAATGTGTCCGGGGAGAAAGATAAATGTACGTAAATCAGCTTATATGGTGAATTCTGGCACATTCACATGATTGGTTGAAGTGATCATGTTAAATAAAGTAACAGACAATGCAGTTTTCTGTGGAATAACAAATGACTCTGTCATTGAAGGACAGCATAGTTATTGCAAATTGAACACATGCACTGTTTTTATAATAATAGTGCTTCTGTGTTTTACACTAACATTTGCTGATTGTTATGAAAGCACAAACATTCGCTACCTGCATTTAACAAAGTGTTGTTTCTTAGAGATGCACCGATCCATTAACCAGACATTGGAACGGGCAGAAATACCCCTGTCCAGCCTTTAATTTAATTTTAGTTTTCTCATTAAACGCATCAAAAAATATTAACTATTGCTGTCTTAATCTGATAAATACATAAAATGTGCATAGTTTCACTTGGACAGGCTCAGGTTGCTGTTTATTATGTCAAGTATGGGAAATTCAGAATTTTCTTTTACTTTTTTTTTAAAATCCAAACGGGTATCAATGCTAAGAAATTCCACTATTTTTGGTCTATAAACTCAACACCACCAGCATGTGCCTTGAGGCACTTTCATAATAATCAGTGAATCAGGAATGGGTTTGCCCAAATATCTTTCTTTCAGTTTGTCTGATATTGCGAAATATGAGTTTTTTTTATTGTTCAATAAGAACCACAACTATTTAAAACCAATAATAAACTTTGATCCATCTTTCTTCAAAGGTACATAAAAAATGTTTCAGTTTAACAATTTATAGCATGAAGTTCACTGAACATTATGAATTTAGTTGGGAAATAAAAGGTTTGGGAACAACGTTCTCTTGAACAAATTAGTACATTTCTTTTCATTGCTAAATATTCGATTGGATTCATAGCAATAGGTTCTAAAATGAAACTAAAACCGGTCAAAAATCAGCCCTGGACGATAAGTAGAAATCGGCTTGAGAAAAGTCTGATCGGTGCATCTAAATGCCTTAAATAAAAACATTTTTACAGAGACTGTGATTAACTTGTTTGGACAAGTTAAAGGAATGGCTTGGAGCGAAGTCTATTTCTGTGACAAACATATAAATTATATAACGCAGCTTCGACTCCTGACTCTTTACTTACTGCCATGTCGGTTGTTAACGCGGTAAAGGCCGATCCAAGCCTCCGACACCGGCCGCTGGTGTGTGCCGCGAACTCGGGCGGACCTGGCTCCGACGCTGCGGGCGGAAGAGTGCCGATTTCCGGGGAGCCTCTCTGAAAAAGTGCGGTGTGGCGTGCGGCCTGTTTCCTCCCCGACTTGGCGTTCCGCTTCGGCGGGGGCCCCCGGGCTCACGCCGCCGTCCTCCTCGGGTTTCCCCTCGCTGTTGTTGTCGTCACCCGGAGACGCCTGGCTAATGCCGGACGGTATGCTGCGGTGGTCGGCCGGGCTGCCGTCGGCGCTCGCCCCTCCATGCTGCCCCAAGTCCGAGTCGCTTCCTTCCTCAGATCGGCTCCTGTTGGCCTCCGTTTCCTCGAAGCTCACCGAGAAGTCGACGACGAGGCTGGTGGGCCTGGTACACCGGGTTCGGCGATAGGAATCCCGCTTTGTGCCATCTTTCGGGAAGGGAGAGGGAACCGGGTCTTGAAGGCGACTCGCTCTCGTCCCCATCTCTAGCAGCGGGCGGGCTAAACGCTGGCTAATTCAGCACACAACAAGGGGACGCGTTCACCTCGAAACGACCCTTAAAAACACGCCAAATGTTCCGACCGAAGCCTCGAAAACAAGCAGCCGCTTGGTAACAACTTCTTACGGAAGAGAAAGCGGCTGGCGGGTCGGTCTGGATGATCTCTCCCCAGCTTTTAGTCCGTCATTCCGTCCACATTTTATTTTTTGACGTGACCGTTGGAGCTGCTGCAGCGGAAATGAGAGCGCGTTCACTTCCTGTCGAAGCTGCGCACACACACGAACAGTTACGGTACACTAAATGTGACCATTTCCAATTTTATTGACTTAAAATATATATATTATATAAAAAGTTGTGGTACGAAATAATAATAATAATAATAATAATAATAATAATAATAATAATAATAATAATAATAGTAGTAAGGTATAGTAATTTTAAAGCTTCATTTAATGACTTAAAACATACACCAAACGTTAGCATAAATATGTAAAATGTATCTAACGGAGAAAAACTATCCATAAAAATGCAAATAATTAAATGAAATATGAGCATACATTTCTACAGGTTTACTCAAAAATGACAGTATCACAACAGAAGACATGTAGAACATTGTTGCCTTTTACACAAAGTTTGTTATAGAAGAGAAAATCGTAATGCAGGTCAGGTATTTTATGCTTTGCTTCCACTAACAGATCAGAGATCAGATCACAGGTTTGATGAGTCAGTGTGGCAAGTTTTACTTTGTTTTTAAGGACTGATCTAATACCACAGAAACTGTAACGTTAAATCACGGCGGAGTCATAGTGCCATCTAGTGGATTAAATAGAAAGTTTTTATTCACATTTTGAAAATTAAATGAAATTACATATTTATAAATGTCTTCTGTTGTGATACTGAAATTAAATATAGTTGTTTGATTTCCTGCGGTGTTTAAATCTGTTTTCATGCAGTCATTATGACACAGAAGTGTTCAAAGTGTGGTCCCGGGGCCATTTCTGGCCCTTTCACTGTTTTTGCAGGGCCCAACTGCTATTCAACAATGATACAAATTTGACCAGGTGGTTGAAAACTGGTCAAATTTCTGAAAGCAGGTGAGAATTTTGTTTTTAAACATTTTTTTATGTTTAATCAGGTCAAAATTATTGCTAACATAATCTTCTTAATGACAAAAACTCACGACACAAAGTGTTTTCCTTTTCATAACCAAGCTTTTGTAATAAGTATTCATTTTTACCAAAAAAACAACTTTCCATATTGAACTCCTGACTACAAAATCTCTACTGATTGGATTAAATTATGAGCGTTAAGGCTGAATTATGAATATATCTCATGTAACTCTTTACATCCATCTCTGCTGTAATTTTTATGACTTATGCGTAAACAAACTTATTCATTAATTAATTTTTTTTATTTAATGAAAACACCACAATTGTGAGATTATGTTGTTTTTTATGTTAGCAGAATGTAGCGTCCAAAATCCTTTACTTTAGGGCTACTAGTGGTTGCCTCTGGGTGTAGTTCGTTTTTACGTGCGTTCAGATAAAGTGTCAGAATACTGATTTTCTATAGTATGAAAGTCTTTTATTATACTTTCCATTTACATACATAAAAGTTCGTTTCTAACCCTCAAACCGAACACAGTAAAAAACTGTCCTCTTCCCAATGGTCAACACCTGAACACCATTACAATCGACCTTAACCCATCCCCCTCACACTCAGAAAACAAAACAATACGCCCTCTGGTGGTGACAACAATTGGCTCCTACACAGAAAATAGACAAAAATTTCCCCATATTTGTAATGCTATTGTTTGGTTCTGGAGCGGACTAGAAGACCTGAGAGGTCTGAAAGGTTGATACAGAAGCAGTAGATATTTAATGTATTTTGGTGCAAAGCCGTTCAGTTATTTATAAACTAACAGAAGTGTTTTAAAGTCTATGAGCTACAGGAAGTGTAAGGACTTTAAAGTTGGGGTGTAGCAGGTTTTTAGTTCCCTCTACGTTCTAAAGGTTTGAGCTAAATATTTTTCATTTCTGCTAGTAGGTTGGGAAGAGATGAAGCAGTGATCAGAAAGTCCAGCATGCATCTGCCAATGTTTAAAGTAACATCGGCTTTGTGTGCTTTTATATTTTGGAAGTTCATTGGAGATATTTGCACTGTTAAAATCTCCAAAAGCAATGAGAAGGCAGGATGGATGTTTTTCCTTTATGATTTGTTGTCTTGAAGAAACCTCCTTTCCTCGGTCCTGAGATGTTTCTCATGGAAACTGTTTGGAAAAGAAGAGAGTCAAGAAGAACAACCTGTCGTATCGTCCACCCTGTAAGTTCATATAGGAAGTGGCCACTTCCTATATGAATCTTCCTCATGCGATGTGAGAAATGGCGCAGATTCTCACTCTTCTTTTTTATCTGTTTCTAGTTGACACACTTCAAATTCAAGGTAAATACTGTTTATTTCTGTTTGTTTTTTTACATTTGGAAGTTTTGAGCATTTTCTTTTCGTTCTAAATTAATCTGGTATATCATTGTAAACGTGACGATCTCATAAAACAAAAGCAGGAAGGAAGAATGTACAGTTCAGTAAGATAAGAAATATCTAAAGTTTTAAAATGTCAAACTTTTGTTCACTTATTCTCACTGCATAAGTGATGTTGACTAATTCTCAAACTGTAGAAATTAAATTTAAATTTCAAACCCTTTCTGTAGAAATTAGAATTACTTCCCTTTCATCAAGTCAGACGATCTTCTTTAAACTCATTACAATTATTAAAATTATCTCTGCAGCAATTTATTGTCATCTGTTTGTTTTACTGATTCTGTTGAATTTATTTTATTTATTTATTATTTTTCCATGAAAAATCTCTCACTGTGTTTTAGTCTTGGTTTGGTCAGATTAGATTGTGAAGTAAGTTTGAACTTTTTATTGTTTCAAATGATGGAGAACAATAACAGAAATTAATACTATGAAGAAAATATGCAAAACAGTCTGCAGATACAAAACATTCACTGTGTCTGTTTGTTTAATATGCTTTATTTTTCCAAAAATCCTTGAATGTTTTCTCTACTGTGAAAACAGAACAAAAAATCCAACCTTTGATTTAAGCTTTTTTGTTGTTGTTTTTTCACAGAGGAGGCAAGATGTCCTGTCAGTGATATACAGACAATTTTCATTTAAAAAATAATAATGACACTAACAGCATTTAGATGAACAATATAGACATTTTAGGATTACACATCTTAACAACTTTGTACTGATCTCAGTTTAGTTTGAATTTTATTTTGTTTTGTGTTTTTCAGTTTCCTCTGCAGTGACTGATGTATTTGTGAAGACTGGAGATGATCTTATTCTTAATCTCACAGCTAAAGTTCCACCAGATGCCATTTGGTCATGGCAATTTAAAAATAAGGCAATAGCAACATTTATAACTGGTATCAAGTCAACTGTTCAAGAAAGTCACGCTGGAAGAATCGAAATTGATGAAAAATCCAAATTCAAACTGAAGAATCTACTAAAGTCAGACAGTGGTATTTATATTGCAAAGGTTGCAGCACCTCGAGATGAAGAACTAACTCAATACAATGTTACAGTTCAAGGTAATTTTTTATATGTATATTTCTGATCCGTGTATATAATAAGTAATTACCTGCTACTCTAAATAGGTGAAACTAGAGTGACTTTTTCAAATCTCTCTTTGTTTTTATGACCTTTACTGATAAAATCCATATTCATAAACACTACAAGCTAAAATAAAGTGTTATAAGAATAATTTTGTCCTTTGAATTGCATTTTTTGCTGGATAATGGCCTCTCTTTACATTTTTTTCCTAATATTCTCAAATCTTCTTCATCCCACAGATCCAGTGTCTCCAGTTGATCTCACCTTTACCTGCTCATCCAGCTCCTCCTCCTATAACCTGACAGCGACCTGCAGGACAGACGACATCAGTGTCACTCTGAGATGTGATTATTTAACCTGCGACCAGGAAGAAGAAGAGAGAAGATCGATCACCAGATCTGGTTCTTCTCTTCTTATCTACAAGTCGAAAGAGTCAATCGTCTGTAGCCATAGCAACCGAGTCAGCAGGATTGAAACCATCAACCAGATCGACAATCACTGCTTTGAACTTGGTAAGACCAGAAAACAACATTTTGGTTTTAACCAAGACATAAAACTTTATTTAAAATCACAGCAATATGATTTTAATGCTTCGGTTGAATTAGAGAGCGTGTGTTTTTAAAAGCTTACAAATGAAAAACTCCAGTCATTATGTTATTATTTTAAGTTAATATGTTAACATTTCACATATTTTCTTCTCTTTACAGCTAAAAGGAGAATCATGACAATCATTAACATCACTAGAATAATCCTGGCTGCATTACTGGTTGTAGTTTTCACTGTAACTGTCGTTATAAGAAAATGTAAGTCTTAGTTTATTTATTTATTTCTACAATAAAATAACTCTAGAATAATGTAGATTTCTTCAGTTTAAAACAGAAGAAGGGTCAGAATAAGTTCCTCATTTGATTTTTGTAACTTTTGTCTAATTTCTAGCCATGGATAATTTACTGATCCTAAAAACAGATGTTTAAGCTTTTTAAACAGGATTACAATGTGATCGACTAAAGAAAACCTGACTTTAAGTGATCTAAAACACATTAAAAGATTGTTTATAATCCATAAGTTGATTTTTAATTAATTAGTTTTAAATTTTATGAAGGAAAATCTGAAATGTTAGTTTTAAATCATCCATGCTTTGTGAGCTTCTTTTGTTTTCTGTGTAGGATCCTAACTCTTTATTTGTTGTAATATTTTGAATAAACTGTGAGATTTAGTTCTCAATTATTGCTGCTTGATGATTTTATTTATTTTTCTAAAATGCATTCTCTGTATTTTTATGTTGCTTTTTAAGATCTTACCGTTTGAAAACTGATTTTTTTTTATTCATCAAACAAAAAATAAATTATGTTTTCTTGTTTGTTTTAGAAGTAGTCACGACAAAAAGAGAAATTCTGTATTTTTATTACACATGAATAATTTTATCAACTAAATTTTTCTGTTTTCAAGGTAAAAGGAAAACCAAGCCAGAGGAAGTGATGTACGAGTTTCCAGAGGTGAGCAGCAAGTTTTATCTCTAAAGATAAGCTGGACGATTTGGAGGATTAAACTAATTAATATATATTTTGTTATTCAAATAAAGTTTATAATTACAACTCTGCAGAAAAATTACTTGTGAAAAATTTTGCACAAATAATTAATTTGGTTTAACAGTCTGCCTCACTTATTACTATTTTATTTCAACATCTCCATCATGTCATCATGATTCTGCTTCTTTTTGTTGTTCTAAACTCCTACTGTAAACTTGTTATTTTACATGTTGTATGAGCTCTCATAATTACTGCCATGCAATGTGAAGTCTGTATGATTACTGACATGTTTAAACTTCTTTTCATGCAGTGACACCAGGTGAACCAGACAAACAGATTCTGCAGACGAGTCATTTTGCCTCATGAAGTTTCTAACAGGAGAGACTGGAAATACCTTCAGACAAACAGAGGAAACCTGTTCATCATCACATAAACTGGGTTTTTTTAAATTATTTGAAAGTAATAAATTTAGATTACAAGTTATGTTATTAGTTTTTTAAATTAAAATTAAAATTAAAATATCTAATGTTATGATTATCTAACATGGATTCTCAGTGCCATCCGCTGGATTAGTAGAGAAAGAACTGAGGGAATAAAGTGATCCACATTTTAAAAAGTGCAAGATTATTATTAATCCCCCAAAGATCCAACAAAATGTTTATTTTGTTTACATGTCTTTTTATGTTTTCTATTCTTATCTATCAGTTCTGTTGTTGATAATGTAATTTTTATATTTCTCCACACAGTAAATAAAATATCATTCTCGGACGCTTAATTGTGCTGCTTGTGAGATTTACACAGTGAGAAACAAAATAACACATGGAAATATTTTAGCATTAAATGGCAGATGGTCTCTATAAATGCTTTTGAAACTCTGAACCAGAATCATCAGCTTTTGACCATCATCGTCTGCTATTTGCTAATCCAAGACGATACCAGTAAATCCTGCTAAAAGGAACCACATGGCTCAATGGTAAAGCTGGCAGTCGATATGCAGAAACTACAGTCCTCAACCTTTTAGTGCATGTCTTCCCTTTCTCTCTCCAGCTTTCTTCTTGTCTAAGTACTAATAAATAAAGGCCACTACTGCCAAGAAAACTTTAGAAAAATAAATCCTGCTCCAATAAAGCAGATTTTAGTGAATATACATGTTCTCCATTGAGCAGCAGATTCAGGAAGCTTTTTGTGATAATAGATCTGTGGGGCAGAAGGAAATGATTGGCGACCTGTCCAGGGTGACCCCACCTCTGACCCATTGACCGCTGGAGCTATTGGCACCAGCAGCCCTCACAATCCCATAGGGTCTCGTTTGACTCAAACATACAACATTGATCCGATTACATCTTTCCAGTCTGACTGTCAATCGTTGACTTTAACCATAACTTCAACCTTTTTGACCATAATTTATTGTTGAATTAACATCACTTGCTATCTGGGAAGTCTGATCAAACACTCACATTGAAATAATAGTAATACATTTTATTACTATTATTTATTTAATGTCATGAAAAGAACCTTTCATGACATTCAAAGATGCTAATGCATAAATAAGGATTAGGAACAAGGAATCAGGAAAATATTAGATATTAAAAGCAATACTTTCAGTTATTAATTCTGTTTTCTTAAATTTTACAATTCTGATGACAAAAATTTTCTCATGAAAAATACCAGTGTCATCTGTAATATAAAGTAAAACTGCAATGCTTTGGTCAGAACTCCTTACCTTGAAAAAGTAACTTAGTTACTTTACTGGGTTTTTTAAAATTATTTGAAAGTAATTAATTCAGATTACAAGTTATGTTATTAGTTTTTTTCAGCAGTTGCCAAAAATCACCTGAGAGTTGAAAATAACTCTTGTAATATGAAATGCTAGTAAAAAAAGTTAATAAATATTAATTCATAGTAGTTAGAATAAAGTTAAAAACAATGTAAATACATTAAAAAGTTGTTGGAAAGTTATAATTTTTTATGTATTAATGTTTGTGTCACTTTGTTCAAGGAAATGTGATCTGTAAATCAGCGATCAGCTAGTAGGCCTCTTCTGGCATCGATTGGTTGAGCCTCATCCTCCCATATGGAGGATTTTAGGCGGTTTTTGTCCCCTTCACTTCCTGTTCTTGCCACGCTGAGCACCGAGAGCGAGGGATCCTGAAGAATTAGGAAAGAAACTTTAAAATAACCGCTACTGGAAAACAGAATGAGGTATAAAATTTATCCTGTAAATATACATCAGTATATATATTTATACTATGCATTCCGATGCATAGTGTAGGTATGCATATTTATATTTATTCATTCAATCATTCATTGGTTTATTTGTTCATATTTAAAGTTTTTCTGAACACTTTTGACATTAATCTGTTTTATTCTATGAAAAGGCTCTCAATGAACATTTTGTAAATGATGGGTTAAACTTGACTACAGTCATTTACTTTTTGCCTTTCCAAACTAATTGTTTTCAATAACCAGCTTCTGCAGATACAAGAGAAAAGGAAAAATATATTTATGTAGGACAGAGAAAGATGATGATGTTAATGGCTACTTATCTTTCTAAAACAGAATATTTCTTTGCCTTCACTACATTAACTTTGAGTTTGATCACTAACCTAGTTTTCTGAAACGGTCTCCAGAGTCACAAAGACAGAACTTTAATACAGAAATTTGTTACATAGATAGAACTTTAACATAACAGTTGCCTGCTTAAATATATCAATCAAATCCGTTTTTATCTACCGCCAAATTATATTAATGTGAAAAATTTACTAGTTTTTGTTTTTAAGTAGTTTTATAAATGACTAATTTTATCTCATCCATGAAATTAAAATGAATCTGAAACAATTTTATTATGAGTTTATGGCTCAAATCACTGCTTAAGCCTAAAGCAAAGCAGGGTTCTGTTAAACGTAGAATAACAGCGCCATCTGCTGGAATGAAAAAATGACCACATCCAATCCAGCTAAAGTTCTGCAAAGAATCCACAAAAAAGAATGTAAAACATTTCAAACGCCTTTAGACATTTATACTAATGTCTTTGGACTGGAAGTTAAGTCTTACCTTGTTTAATATCTTATGTTTTCATCTTTTTTATACTATATTTATAACCTCATAGGTCAGTTTTAGGGGGCTGCACAGTGGTGCAGTTGGTTGCATGGTTGTCCTGGGTTTGATTCTGGTTCTCCGGCTTCCTCCCACAGTCCAAAAACATGACTGTCAGGTAAATTGGCCTCTAAATTCTCCCTAGGTGTGTGTGTGTGTGTGTGTGTGTGTGTGTGTGTGTGTGTGTGTGTGTGTGTGTGTGTGTGTGTGTGTGCGTGTGTGTGTGTGTGTACATGAGGTTGTTTGTCCTGTCTGACCCCACCAGGGACAAGGATGTTAGAAAATGGATGTTATTAGTGTTCCTCTTCTCTACCAGTGTGTCCAGTCTTAATTTGCTCTATTGCAATTAATTAACAAGAGCTGCAATAGAGATTGAAATAAAATCACACATGAAAACGTTTGTTCACACGGTGAGTTTGATTTCATCTCTTATTTAATGAAACGCTGTAATTGAGAAGTTGTGTTTTTACTTTCCACACAAAGATTTACACACATTTGTAATGGAAAAGCAGCTAAAGTCCTCACTAACAGGGACTCATATTTAGAGCTAATCCATCCATTTTCTTTTATTTCCAGACGTCAAACTGTGGAGATGAAAGGTGCAGCAGTGAAACATCCCCAGATGTTCCTCCTCCATGAGTGCTGGAGCGCCACCTGGGGGACAACAGGGGTTCCTGATCCAGGAGGGATGGACGGTACTTGAAGAGGGATCTTGGTCAGATCCAGGAATCTCTTCCCAATGGAAAATCTTAACAAGGAGACATCAAAGATGGACCCTGATGAGATTCCTGAACTATTTCAGTTTACCTTTCAGTTCAGCTCCTTCTTCTATGCAACAGACTGAATCTGAAGCCCCATCAGCTCAGACAGAACCCAAACTTACACTAAATGGATTCTCTGTGGGGTTAAAGGTCAAGGAAGTTTGTTGGCCAATCAAGAACAGGATCTCCATGGACACTGAACCAGATTTGGTACCTTTGGCGGTGTGGGTCGGTACCAAGTCCTGCTGGAAATTAAGATCAGGATCTCCATACTATAATTTTCTGCATAAACTGGACTTGAGGAAACCCAGTTGACCAGAACCAGGAGACAACATGGCACCTCAAGCTTCACTCTGGACATGGACTCTGAGCTTCTCTGCTCTTCAGACCCTCACACCCTGATCACAGAATGAAATGCAGAGTTTTCTCTCCTGTGAAGAAAGGACTATGGACCAAACCTGAACAGTTCAGCTCCTTTTCACCTTCGCCAGGTAAGACGATTGATGTCTCTGGGTGGCTTAACACAGGGAATGTGAGATTTGTTGCCCTTGTCTAGCACAAAGCTCTCAAGGCTGTGGTTCTTCCTGCTCCAGATGTACACTTCTTCCTTCCATTCAATTTTCTGCCAATATGCTTGGATGAACTCTGTGAATGACCAGTTTCTTCAGCAATGGCCTTTTGTGGCTCCTTGAGAGTCATTGGCTCTGTGCAGTCAGCAGTCTTATCAGTGATTGTGTAGCTTACTGAGTGAGAGACAGTTTAAAGGTGATCTGAGTTAATTAGCCTATTAGATGTGGTGCCAGAAGTTTCTGTTAATTTTATTTTTCACAGTGTTATAATCTTCTGAGCAGTTCTGCTGTAAAAATAAAGCTGACTGTTTGCAGCTTGTTGTTGCAAACAAATATATTTATAGTAATGTGATCACTTTTAAATGAATGTTATCTTTTTCATTGTATTTTCCATTTTTCTGTCAAGCACACTAAATTTGCTTTAATCTGCCTTGACAGCTAAACTACTATTTATATATTTAAGCCTTGTGTAGTATTTTTCCACCACAATATGTAGCTGAAACTAAAGTGAAAAAACAGAATAATAACACCTATGTATCTGTGTAAAAGATTTGTTATCTGATTATTTTTATATAGTTTAACTCTAATGTGTAATAAAATTATTTCAAGCAGAAATACATTGTTAAATACTGTTTTATTATAGAATGTAAAACACAAAAGACTGGGAAATAAAATGACACTTACTGTCATTTTAAGATAAACATTTAATGCAAATAAGTGCAAAGTCAGAAATAGACTTTCAATAACAGCTTGGTCTATATAATCACTTTTAGCAAAGCTCTGGATTTATTACTATTTCAAGCTCAGTGCTTTATTATTTGAGATATTACTAATTATTTTCATATAAAATAAGATCTCTTTTGAAGTTTTAATCTTTACAAGTGGAAAGAACAGAAATAATTTGGTTGGACTTTTCCTGTGAAATGGGCTCCATAACTTCTTAGTCAGAGACAGACAGTGATTCAATAGGATCTGAAGGTAATTTTAGTAATTTTATGTAATTTATGGACGGTAGACATGAATGTCATTAATGAAGTCCATAACGTTTATTTTTTTAATTAATAATAAAGGGTTTACAAAACAGCAAAATGAACAATACAAATAAGAAATGAAACAGACAAGATAATGTTATATAGAAAGCACAAACAAATCGAAAAGCAAATAACTAACAAAAAATGAACTCAGAAAGATATTAAAGTGAGAGCATATTTCCATTGTCTTAATGGCTTTTCTATTTTTGAGCACTGTAGAGATCTAATATATTGTTTGAATTCTTCTTTAAAGGCTTAAAAGTGAGTTTTCTGATTTTGGCAACTAATACAATTAGATTGATATAAAAATG